CTCTCTTTCTCTAACAGGCCGTTCTGGTTCCAGGTGTTTTCAAAAAATTTGGCATCCACGTGGCATCCACCTATGCATCTATGTGGCATCCACGTGCATTCCACGTGGCCAACAGTTAACTCCGTTTAAATAATTTGGACGGAAGTCCTACATTGCAACCAATTAATTTATTAGGGATCAAATTGAGACCAAAATTAAAAGTGGGACTAAATTGAAACAAACAATTATTATAAGGGACTAAAATACTATTTTAGCCTAAAAATATTTAAAGCACAAGAAAGATAGAGACACTAATTTACTTAAGTGATACTCACATACATTTTTTATAGTAACATACTCTTTGTAAATCTATTTTTTTTTATTGTAAACACTCATTGCTCTATATTGGATGTATAATGTCTAAGTGAGATGAACACAACATTTATGTAACCTTTATAACCATTGTTATAAGGTTGAGTCTGGAAAGGTTTGTCTAAAAAAGAATACTTATTTTGAGTTTAACGAGTCTTGACTATAAAAGAATATTTGGTTGTTAATCTTGGAGAGGCATGCCATTAAAAGAATATTTGGGTAGTTGTTGAAGAGGCAAGTCAAATAATACTTAAGGTCGAGCCAAAAGTGGCTTATTGAGAGGATACATGTAACTTTTTTTAATGATAGTGGAACTTAATTTGATTGGATTGAGAACTAGACCTAGTCTCTATGATTAAGATGAACTAGTATAAAAATACCTTGTGTTCCATCTAACTTCTTTTCAAATTCCATTTGATTAGAGTTACTACTTCACTACGACAATCGTGAAAGTTTTTAGCACTACTAGAAAATCGCAAAATAGCGACCGAAATTTATCAGTCACTATTTAGCGACCGATTATGAATAATCAATATAGTGACCGATTTAGCGACCAAAATAAGTCATTGCTAGAAAATCGGTCGCTATTTCGATCGCTAAATGTAACGTAGTAAGTTATTAGTAAGTTGTTTCAGAAGGCCCAAAAGCCCAGTATGGGTGATTTAGTAGCCCAGAACGGGCCGTTCCCAAACTGGAACGGGCCGTTCCAAACTACTGAATAGACCTGTAAATCATAGTTGAGAACGGGCCGTTCTGGATGGAGTACAGGCTGTTCTAGAGGGAGTACGGGTCGTTCTGGATGGAGAACGGGCCGTGCTGGATGAATCCTAGAATGTGACACCCTCTACCCCAACATATATATATATAAAATC